TATCGCTGAGTGGTGAGTCAGGCTTATCTCTTAAACAGGAGGCAGCTGGACTCTGTCACTTTGGAGCTCTTGTGTCACTGACCTAGTTGATGATCTATCCTCCCACTGAAGTCAAAGGGCTTTTGTTACTCTGCCCTGAGAAATGGAAATGGCTCTTAACATTCCATCTTGGTAGGACAGGAGATAGTCTGATTGCTAGATCCTCAGGGTTACACAAACAATTACAGGCTTCATTTGACTCTGTAGAGTGAGGCTGTGAGGGAAATGGACTTTCTTAGGATCACATGATAATAAAATTAAATGGAACACATGTCTCCTGGCTCCATGTTGAAAATACCTGCCTCCTGCCTTAGGACAACCTATTACAAGGGAGAGAGGCAAACAACCCTGTGTTGTGCCTGGGCTTCTACATTATTATATTTTGAGGCCTCTGGTGAATTTTTTTTCTTGGTAAATTATTTTAATCTCATTGATTGTTTTCTGATCTGTAAAATGGGATGAAGTAGATGGAGATTCGTAACAGGCTGGCAGGTGCTCAGTGAATGTGAGATTTCCTTCCCTTCCAGCCAGTGGCAGAGTTGGGGATTGTTCCAGGTCATTCAATTCCTGGTTCCATGATTACTACTGAGATTTTTAGAAATGGATCTTCAGGGGGCTGAAGAGATGGCTCAGAGGTCAAGAGCACTGACTCCTCTTACAGAGGACCCAGGTTCGATTCCTAGCATCCACATGGCAGCTAACAACTGTCTATAACTCCAGTTCCAGGGGACTCCAACACCTTCTTCTGACTTTCGTGGGCACTGCATGACATGGTGCACTTAGAAACATTCAAGCAATACACCCACACACATAGAATAAATTTTTTTTTTAGCAAAAGAAATGGATCCTCATGCAGTTCAGTAAGTTCCAAGGACAGGATGCCTGAGCCTAATGGGTGGTTTCTCTAGTTAAGGCCCCAGATTCCTCTGCTTCATGACTTAGTCCATTTCCTCTAGTGTAGGATGCCTTATTCTTCCACCTCAGAAGCCTGGGAAGTAGCCAGCTGTGGATTCTGAGAAGGTGTTTTAGTCACAGAGAAAGAAATGAAATGTATTTGGGCTGTAAGCTTCCCTGTTGAGAATTAGCATATTTAAGGACCGGAACCTGTCTGAAAATGTACTGGGCATTTTTAGAATTAGGCCTGCTGGAAAGACACTAGACAGAGGTGGCCAACATGTCTTGTGGTTGTTTCATCTGTACTTTGTGATGTTTTTCTCTCTAAATATCTGAGCTCATTCTGACCTACAGAATCTGAAATTATTCACTTAGCTCTTAACTCCCCGCTGGAATTACTCATTCTCACCTCCCCAGATAGTGCCTAGGCTCTGAAGAATGAAAATTTGCTACTTATTTTTATGTGTATGAGTGTATTGCCTGCATGTGTGAAAGTGCACCTGTGTCGTGCAATGCCTGAGGAGGTCAGAAGGCTTTGGATTCCCCCAGAACTGGAGTTACAGATGGTTGTTAGCCACCATGTGGGTGCTAGGAATCGAACCCGGCTCTTCTGCAAGAGCAGTCAGTGCTCTTAACTGCTGAGCCATCTCTCCAGTCCCTATTTATTTATAACAGAGCATAGGGTAGGGGTTTATTTACAGAAGAGTGGGCGCCCCTCATTTTGAAAATTCTTTAAAAGATAGCTGATAACCAGGGAGGAGTCTCTTCCACTCCTTACGTCCTTGTTGCAGCAGAGAAGGGAGCCCCTGCTTTCTCTCCAGAGAGGATGGGTAAGATTTCAGTCTGGACTCACTCCAGTTCTTTGGATTTCTAAAGTCAGCAGCTCAAGGACCCAGTCTGGCAGCTTTACCTGAGGGATGGAAGGGGAAGAGTATCTTCTTACTCATATAGTAAAATGCATTACACTGCATCTTTGTACCAAGCACAAGGCCAAGTTCCTAGACAAGGACCTTGCAGAGAAGAGCTATGCACGGTCTACCCTAGGCCCACTCGAGGGACACCCAGCTAAGAAGTCTTGTAACTGGAGTTTTAGGGCAAAGCTCCCAACTCAACAACCTCAGCAGGCTAGCCTTGGCTATCTGTTCCAATAAGAGACCATTGACGGTAAAAAAATTTTTTAAAAGCAGAGGCTATTTAGTGCATTAGAATGAGTAAAGGGGTCATGTGACCCCAAGTTTGTCTTTGGAGTACTGACATGAGTCTTAGGTTTAAATAGAGGAAGAATCAGGACAAGGAGGAAGAAATACACAATTAAGCAGTCCTATTTTTTCAAGTTCTCAAAAGGCGTCCATGTGACATTGCCCATGTGCTATGGGGGGTGGCTATGAATGAATGTGTTTGTTGTACACATGAGCTACATATGTTGATTCACCTTTGAATCTTCACGTTGTCATATATCCCTGACCTCACACTCACTGGTCAGATACTATTATTTTACCTTCCCTAAAGGAGATTCAGCAATGAGCAATTTTACAACCAAAACACAAGACCTCACTGGAAAATGCTGCCTATTCTCACAGTGGAGTTCATTTGGGAAGTCCTGACCTGCTAAGCATTCTATTTTAATTCAGAGGGGCATTTTTTTTTTTTTGGTCCTTTTGAGACAGGGTCTCCCTGTAGCCCCAGCTGTCCTGGAACTCACTTTGTGGACCAGGCTGGCCTTGAACTCACAGAGATCCACCTGCCTCTGCCTCCCAAGTGCTGGGATTAAAGGTGTGCGCCACCATGCTCGGCAATTTTTTAAAACTTTTAAATTATATTTGCATGTCTGTGTGTGTGTGTGTGTTGCATGCAAGGACATGCCACAGTGCTCATATGGAAGTCAGAGGACAACCTGTGGGAGGTGGTTCTTTCCCTCTACCATGTGGTCCTGGGGATTGAACTCAGGTTGTCAGGTTTAGCCGCAAGTACCTTTACCTCATGAACAATCTCACCAGTCCCAGAGGAGGGCTTTAATCTGCTACCTTGACAGCTACCTTTAGTGATTTTTGTTGTTGTTTTGAAATAGTCTTGGCATGTAACCCTGGCTGGTGTGGAACTTGATATGTAGACCAGGCTGGCCAAAGATCCCTATTTTTCTGCCTCCTGAATACTAGGGCTACAGGCATATAGCACTATGCCTGGCTCCTTTAGTGTTACACCTTGGAAGGAAATCTGCATTTCCTCTTGTTGCCTTTGGAGTCCAAGCAAAGGTACCAAAGTCACCCTAGGACTGAAGCTGATCAGTTTCAGGCAAGCACATGCAATGCTGAGACTGTTTTAAGCTCTCACAGACTTCTGGGCAGGGACACACAGAGGAGAAAGGTATAGGGAAAGAGCTTTGCTTATTTTTACTTTTTATTTATATTTTTAAAAATTTTACTTATTTATTTATTTATTTATTTATTTATTTATTTATTTATTTATTTAGAACTCACAATGGTCCGCCTGCCTCTGCCTCCCAAGTGCTGGGATTAAAGGCATGTGCCACCACGCCCAGCCAATATTTTGTTATTTTACTTTATGTATATGAGTGTGTTGCTTGCATATATGTAAGTGCATTCATGTCATGCTGTGCCCATGGAGGTCAGAAGAGGGCATCAGACTCCCCTGGAACCGGAGTTATAGACAGTTGTTAGCTACCATGTGGGTGCTGGGAATCGAACCTGGGTCTTCTGCAAGAGCAGCCAGTGCTCTTAACTGCTGAACCGTCTCTCCAGCCCCTGGAGTTTTGCTTCTTATTAGCTGAATGACTGTAGGAAGTTACTTCCTTGCTCCAAACTTCAGTTTTCTTCTTTATATAATTGGGATAATGCCAGTAATCTCAAAGGCAATCTGTACAAAGTATCTGGCATAATATGAGATTCACAGATATGAGATACAGCCCCAGTACACACAGATACATACACCTATGCACTTGGGCAGTCATACATCTACTCATATACAGACACACACATACACACCTGAACAACTTATGAGAGGGTGAGTTAATGTGTACCTATCTCAAGGCCTACCTCAATAAGACAGCGGTTCTGCACAAAGCAGAAGACAAGTGTCCTTCCTTGCTGAGCCATCTTGCTGGCCCTAAAATGCTCATTTTGTTGTACATGAATGTTACCTTAATACATTATTAAAAAAACAAATAGGCGACAGTAGCATCTGGTTCATAGACAGTAGTTTGCTGACCCCTGACCTAGATCAATTTTCATTTCTGTGAACTTATAATCCTCCTGAGTGCTAAGATGACAAATGCCATCACATGTAGCAAATTTCTTATTTACTTCTTATTTATTTATTTAGATACAGGTTCTAATGTAGCCCAAATTGGCCTTGAACTCACTATGTCATCTGAAGATGACCCTGAACTCCTAATCCTCCTGCCTCTACTTCCTAGGTGTGGGATTACAAATATGTACTACCACACTTGATCAAACCTCTTCTCTTTATAAAGAGCCCCAGTTGGCCTTGAACTCACTATGTATCTGAAGATGACCCTGAACTCCTAATTCTCCTGCCTCTATTTCCTAGGTGGTGGTATTACAAATATGTACTACCACACTTGCTCAAACCTCTTCACTTTGTAAAGAACCCAGCCTCAGGGCTTTCATTATTACAGAAAACAAATGAATATAGAGTTTACTTATGCTGGGATCTCTACTTCATTCTAAGACTTTAGGCCATGTTACTTTAAAAGATGAGTTCAAGCTGGGCATGGTGGCGCACGCCTGTAGTCTCAGCACTTGGGAGGCAGAGGCAGGCGGCTCTCTGTGAGTTCAAGGCCAGCCTGGTCTACATAGTGAGTTCCAGGACAGCTGGGGCTACACTGCTTCAAAAAGACAAAAAATTTAAAAAAATTTTTAAAAAGTAAAAAAGATGAGTTTACGCCAATTTGCTTTAAAAGATCAATTCACTCTAACTGGAAAGTATGGAATAGGAACATACTTCAGACAAAGAGAAAACAGAATTCCTTAAAGATATTTCTCAGGCTGACCACCCCCCCCACGCACGCATGCACACACGCACACCAGTAGCAACAGCAGTAGATTTTTATTAGATGCAGAATCTCCTGGGTTATCTCTCAGGTAAGTGATACCAACTGGCAAGCATAGCCATGCCACACACACGGAGGCGTTCCTGGTGTAAGCATTCTTATTTAACTCTGACCACCCAGGAAGTGCTTCTCTTTGAGACTCAATACCACCAATGATGACATGGAAGGACTTGCAGTAACTAGTTCAACTTGGCTAACAACTCTTCCAGTTCTGGCCGAGCTTTGAACCTTCCCTTGAAGTCTTCTTCAGTGTGCTGGGGACAAGGAGAAGAAAATAAGTGGAAATCACTCAGAGCTTTTATTACCCATGTATGCACAGCACCCAAAATGGGCTCATCAGATGGCTCTCCAGAGGATGATTCTGATTCAGCTCATGCTCAGTGAGCATCTAACATGTCCCAGACTTGACTTGGGTACCAGGGACTCAAGGCTGAGAAAAGACAGACACATTGAGCCACACTGTCTAGCAGTGTGTCTTGTTTTGTTTTTTTTTTGAGACAGGGTCTATGTAGGCCAGGCTAGCCTAGAACTTGTTATATAGATCAGGCTAGCTTCAAACTTGTGGCAGTCTTCCTGCCTCTGCCTCCTGAGTGCTTGGATTATACACACAGGGACTGGAGTATTTTAAATTAGTATGACGAGCACATTCTCACCCTGTACATCTCTGGGAATTCCAAATAACAACCAGATAAGCATGGATTCAGAACAAGGGGGCTAATGAAGCAATTACACCAGTCTAATATGACCTGATGGGATTATGTCATAAGGATTGTCAAGGCAACTAACCTGACTCCTAATATGTAGGCTAAAGTTCATAATGTTCTGCAAGTACTGGCATTTTTTACCAGATATATTTAATGGAGCTACAGTCATGCTTTAATAGTCTAGAAAATGTCTAAGATACATCTTCCTTTGTGTTCTGATTTAACATACTGTATATAATCTTAAACCATGTTCTTTCTGCCACAAAACTACCTGTGAATTTGGAGAGAATTGAGAGTGCCACCGGCTCACTCCCTAACATCAAGAGATGTGTAATAGAGGTCAGCTTCTATAGTACACAAAGCATCATCCTTGACACCTCAGAGGCCTCAGAATGATGATTATAGCACCAGTAGGCTGCACACTTCTCCTGATTATTATCTAGCTGAATTATACACATTTCTCTGTTTAAAAAATCAGGCTGTACAGGCATCTTTATCTCCATTTTGAGCATAAGGAGGCCACCAGGAGGCCTCTTTCCACACCAGCACCTACCTCCCTCACTGACAATCTGACTCCTTCTGGAAGATTGCTTTGTAGTATTTCCAAGAAAATCTCTGCAAACGTAGCACTCAAACCGCTGATCTGCAAAATGAAGGCAGATGCTCTGAGAGAGGGTGCTGAAAGCCAGGTGACCAGGTAACCCTGGCTCCAGGGCCAGCTCCAGCAAGGAAAGGGTCTGTATTAGTCATTTTTCTCTTACTGTGATAAAACACCATGACTAAGGGAACTTGTAAAAGAAAAAGCTTATTTAGCTTTATGGTTCCAAGGGGCAAGAATAAGTCCATCATGGCAGGGAGGCGTGGCGGCAGAGGTGGCTGGAGTAGGAGAAGCTACGCTCTCACATCTTCAAGCAGGCACAGGAAGCAGAGCATGACTGGAGATCCAGCAAGGCTTAAGAATTTTCTAAGCCCACCCCCAGTGATGTGCTTCCTCCAGCAAGGCCACACCTTCTAATACCTCCCAAAACAGCACCATTGACTGGGGACAAAATGTCTGAATACTTGGAGCCTATGGGGGACATTCTCATTCAAATCACCACAGGGACTGACATCCAGCAATGGTTTCTGAGCTTGGTCCCCTACAGGGTTTCTCTTGCTATCTGTTAGGTGTTTGCTTGCTGAGATGGTCATGGCAGTGGATGTCATAACTAGACCAATACATTATCAAGTCCAGGCTGGCTTTCTCATGCAGCTCAGGTTTACCTACAGAAGCCAGGTGCTGACTGGTATCTGACCTTGTCCTGAGAATCTAGAGGTGTGTCAGAAGTGTGTTGGGAGGACCCACAAGAGAAATAACCACCAATTCATAGAAAGTCAAAAAAAGCTTCAAGAGAGGTAGTGCCTGGGTAGAGTCTTGGAGGAAAACAGGATGAAACTGGGAGAATTTGACAGTAGCATGGAGAGTTTTCAGGGCAGAGGAAACAGCATTCAGTAAATGTGGATGTGTAACAGCATTAGGAAATTACAACTAGCTCACGGGTGGTGGGGTGACTGGGACTTAACAAGGAAAAGCAGGAGGGGAATTACAATGGCACCTCAGACCAGAATTCGTACTTAAGCTGATGGGCCTCAGGGACAAGTAAGATCTACCTATGATGCATTATAAATAATTACTTCTGCTAGTATTTAAGGAATTAAAGCTTTCAAAGTGTGCTAGTTATTTTTAAATTAGCACATTTAGGGTAGGTGTTCTTCCTTTAATACTCGTCTCTAGTGTATAAAAAAGGGTATATAACAGAATTGTCAATAAAATCCCATACATTGGAATACTAGTTGGCCAGACACAGTAATGAAGTACTGACTGTGCTACACTACAGGTGAACTTCAAAAATGCATCAAGTGATAGAAGCCAGATACAAAAGGCCATGTTATTATTAATTTTTTTGTTTACTGAGGCAGGGTCTCACTGTGTAGCCTAGGCTGGTCTTAAATTCAAAGTCATCCTCCTGCCTCAGCCTCCTAACTGCTTGAATTACCATGCTCAGCTTCTAAGCCCATAAACTGTACAATTCCATCAAATGAAATGCAGTAAGTTCATACAGTAGATAAGTAGCTATGAGGGGCTGGATAGGTCTGTACAGAGGAGTCATGGCTCATTGACTTGGTTTATTTATGAGGTAATGAAAATGTTCTAAAACTGATTCTTGTTGCGTAACTTTCAGGGTTTGTTTTGTTTTTTTTGAGACAGGGCCTCAGGTAGCTGCAGCTGACCTGGAACTGACTATGTAGACCAGGCTGGCCTTGATCTTACAGAGATCCGCCTACCTCTTCTTCCTGAGTGCTAGGATTTAAAGGCATGCACCATCACAACCAGCAAGTCTGAGAGTGTTTTAAGTGGTAGGAGCTAAGGAATTTGGTGAATAAATAGGTATCAGAAGACAAAAAGGGATCAAACATTAGGCTCAAAGGATTACAGACCAAGAGTTTTCCACACAATGAGGTCAAGGTGTTGCCTGTGGAGCATACACATGGAGAAGTCCACTAGACAACAGGGTACTGGTTTGAAGTTCAACCAACAGACCAGGCCTAGCTATATGTACCTGGGGTATCTGTATATAATGATGGTCACCGAGCCTGGGGAAATGAATGAGATTTCATAACAGGAAAGTGGGGGGTCAAGACCTGAACTCTGGAGCACATCATCATTTAAGGCCAAGAAGGCCAAAGGAAGAAGAGTCCATGGAGATGGAGAAAAATAGAGGGAGAGAGGCAGAGAAGCAAACACATTTCGGATTCACCCAGAGTGCCTACCTGAACCACTCTCTCATGTGTGGTAAGGACTGAGTCCAGGATCATTTTGCTGCCTTGGTCTGGCAGCCGCATCACCTCCATGGTTTTGGTGGGCATCGCATAACTGCAGAAGAAGAGTTAGCATTGAGAATGTCTACTTAAGCCAGCAGTGCCACTTCAATCAGGGTCTTCTGTCCACCTTTTAGAATCTAAAAAATGCTTATCTACAGCCCATATCAAAGTAGCCAGATACCCTACTTCCTCTGGAAGTTTCTAAACTTTCCGAGGGAATAGACTGTGTTTTGTGCCTTTCTGTATATCTAATCATGCTTAACACAATACTCTGAATATAACCTGATGATAAATACATATTTGCTGTGACTGAAGAATAGCCACTTCTAAAAGACTCAAGCCTACTACTTAGGTATGCTTTGGAGGCTAACCTTGGTCTTCTCACTTGTTCTGGAGAAATAAGGCAACACACCCAATTATTCTGGAACAAGATTTCTCAACTTCAGCACTACTGACATTCTAGACCAGATAATTCTCTGTTGTGGGGGCTCCATTCTATTCTGTTCATTCCTGCCTCTGCCACTAGTACCCCTCCAGTGGTGACACAATCATCTCAGTTACCCAGGTTGTGAATCTCTGTTGCAGTCTGTGCTTCCTGTATTAACTTCAGCATCTCTTCCCGAAACCTTGGAAATATCAGCAGACTTGGGAGCCTGCCACTTACTAGCAATGCTTACTTAGGTAAGTCACTCTCCTCTCTGGGCCTCAGTTCTTTCATGTATAAATGAAATTACAAACTCAGCCTGCTAGTTAAACACTATGAGGATAAGGTGTGGTGATAAGACTGAACTAATGGTTACATAGAAATACACTGTTAGTGTTGCATTCATCCTACCAAAAAGTTCATCAGACTAAAGAGAAAGGAAATAATAACGATGACAATAGAATTCCTGATTCTTCATGTTTCATCCATAACAACAGGGGGCTGGCTCTCCACGAGGAAGCTTAGTGTAATGAAAGTGGAAGAGAAGCATGGTGGTCCTGGAATTTTAAACTGTGGCTCTGCCCCTTCCTGTTGAATTTAGGCAGGCCAGCTCAGCCTTCTGTGTCTTGGTTTCTTCAGTCAGAAAGTGAGAACAATACCTTGTTCACAGGGTCGTGCAATGGCTAAATGAGATTTCATAAGCAATTTGCCTGTCACAATACACCTACAAATGCCAGTTCCTTTGTCCTGATAAAGTCAGTAAATATCTGGGCATTAGCTGGGTGTGGTGGCACATGCCTTTACTTCCAGCAGAGGACCTGGGTTAGGTTCCCAGAACCCACATGGTGGCTAACAACCATTCATAACACCAGTTCCAGGGGATCTGATGGCATCTTCTGGACTCGGCAGGCATTTCAGGACACAGGTGCACCTACATACATGCAGGCAATACACTCATACACATAAAAAAATAAAATAACGCTGGCACGGCGGCACATGCCCTTAATCCCAGCACTGGGGAGGTAGAGGCAGGTGGATCTCTGTGAGATCAGGGTCACCTGGGGTTGCAGGGAGATCCTATCTCAAAAAGATGAGAGAGAGGGAGAGAGAGAGAGAGAGAACAAAGAGCAGCAACTCAGGATATAGAAAAAAATAAGTAAGTCTTTTTCTCCCTTACCCTTTCCCCTTGTTTTCCTTTCTTTTTGTGGGAGTGGGTGGGTATGCCTGTGCCATGGCTCTGTGTAGAGGTCAGAGGACAACTTGTGGGAGTTGATTCTCTCCTCCCACTATGTGTGTGGGTCCTGGGGATCAAACTCCGGTCATCAAGCTTAGTGACAATTATCTTTATCCTTTGAGCTAGCTACCTTGCCAGTCCCATCCCCCTTGACTTTTAGACCTTTTTATAATGTGCCTTTTGTGTATTATTTTGTATTTAATACTTTTTATTAAATAGTATTTTCACTTCTTATTTGTGTGTGTGTGTGTGTGTGTGTGTGCACGTGTGGGTGTCCTCACATGTGTATGCTTTTGTCTGGAGGACAGAGGTCAACACTGGGGGTCTTCCTTAACACTCTCCACTTTATTGTGTGTGGAGTAGGGTGTATGCATGTATGTATGTGTGGTGTATGCATGTATGCATGTATAGCATGTGTGTGCAGTGGGATGTACTCCCCTGTGCATGTATAGGCCAGAGCAGGACATCTTAATTCTTAATGTCTTCCTCAATCATTTCTCTACCTTATTTTGTTTGTTTTTTATTAGTTTGGGTTTTTTGTTGTTGTTGTTTATTTTTTGTCTTTTTTGAGACAGGGTCTCCCTATAGCCCTAACTGGCCTGAAACTAATTGTGTAGACCAAGGCTGGCCTTAAACTCAGAGATTTGCCTGCCTCTGTCTCTTGAGTGCTGGGATTAAAGGTGTGCACCACCATGCCCAGCTTTTTAAATTTATTTATTTTTTGTTGTTGTTAGTTTTTTTTTTTAATTATTTAATAACCACATGATTAGAAGCATTTCATTACAGCATTAACATATTCAATAACAATTTCCAGCGCAAAGATGCTTGTCTTTCAAAATTAGCTGTAAATTTTGAGGTTCACAGTTAAATTAATAGTTATATACAATATTGAACTCAGTATAACCCTTATAAGACATAAAATTGAATGAGGTTTTAACTGTGACCCTCAAAATTTACAGCCAATTTTGAAAGAGAAGCATCTTTCAAAAGTGGCTATAAAATTTTAGGTTCACAGTTGAATTAATACAGTTATACAATATTGAACTCAGTATAACCCTTATAAGACATAAAATTGAATGAGGTTTTAACTGTGACCCTCAAAATTTACAGCCAATTTTGAAAGAGATGCATCTTAGCTCAGGAAATTTTTATTGAATATGTCGATGCTGCTGTAATGAACTGCTTTTTCTAAGTATGTTGTTAATAAATAATTTTTAAAAAGAAAAGAAAAAAAGGAAGGAAGGAAGGAAGGAAGGAAGGAAGGAAGGAAGGAAGGAAGGAAGGAAGGAAGGAAGAAAGAAAGATAAAAAAGACCC